GGGTTCCATTGTTGACAGAGGTTGATTCGCTCAATGGCACACTAGGGTTTCCTCGTGGATGCAATGGAACCTAATAAAAAGTGATTCAGAAAATTCACGATATGGATAACGCCTCCGCCCAAAGGTAAATTAATATTCTGGACTTTTATTTGGGATTTTCGTCGTTTATTAGATCTATTATTTGATTAGTATTTTAGGGTTCGACTCATTTTAGCTACTGAATTATTGAGACTCGATTGTAATCTATGAGCTCGGTGGCAGCCGGTTATGTATTATATTCTTTTGTTTCCTTTTATTGAGAAGAAATTTGTTGGGAGAAGATAATGCGAAATCTTTATGTAATTAACTAATTATCGGCAAGAGATGGTTTGCTTGTTCTTCGGCCATACCTTAGGGGTATCTGTAATTTCCCCAATGATGCAAGTTACATCTTTTTTTTTTGTATCCTTAACAACAAACAATCCGATATTATTAGGCAACCATGGCCAAGTTCAAAGGCACGGACGAACCCTCATTACATACAATTAAAAGAGCACTGACCGCGTTGAAATTTAATATACAACGACATAATAAACTAGCAGTAATTAAATCGTCTTCAACAAATGAACAAATGAATTGAACGACGGGATTCCATCTTTAGATGCATTGATCACCTGTAATTAAACATTACAGGGTTCTAAAAATCGCTTATCAGGTCCGAGGCGGTTTCAAACCGCCACACGATAAATTGGCGCGATTGATAAATCGGAAATAAATCGTTTTTAGGTTTAGGGTAATATATTTCTAAATATTATTTCTATATATTCAAAATATTTATAAAACTTGGGTTCGTAAGTTTTGGCCAGGTTCTTCTTTTCTTACGAGGTGGTGACTTGATTGAGAGAAATTGGGTTGGAAAAATAAAAACGAAAAACCCTAGTTTTTTCTAATCCAAAAAAGAAAAAGGAAAAATAGAAACCAATAGTATTTTCCGATTTATTGGTCAAATTTTGACCCGATATTGGTTTGACCCGCCTAATCCGCCACATGCCGCCGGCCACAAACCACTACAGACTGCCACGATCGATGTTTAGAACACAACCTCTAAATAGTCTCCTTCAATGATAATTGAGCTCCAACCTTGTGAATGAGCCATTTTTAGTGCGTGAAGAACATCAATAGCTTCACCATCTTCCACCCGAGGACGACCTTCCAAGCTGCGAATATACAAACACGTACACGCTATCTCGAGCCACACACGCGATTGTGTAAAAATCCTTCCCCGATGGAAAGCCAGCATCGTCACAATTAATCTTTATCAACCCTAGAGGAGGCGCCTTCCATTGCTTTTGGTGTTGAATCTTCATTCCAGACGCCAACTGAAGTAATCCATGTTTAAATGCGTGAATATATATAACCTCCTCGAAATAATTTTGAATTACGGATATTACAACACTTGAGAGTTAGCATGGTCAATAAATGAGTATAAAATTGATTTACGTCAAATATTTTCCAAAAAAATTTGTGATACGCTTCAAATGTACGCGGGAATCATTATTTGAATTCGTTATTCGCCACGAATAAGCATTAGGATGCCGTAGGTTGGTCCCAACAAAACCCTCCGACGCTCGAGTAGATCTGCCCTTGCATATCACATAGTAAAGTTTGAAGTTTTAAGAATGTAATTGGTGTAAACATGAAGATAATTACCTAATTAAGTAGTATTTATACCTACAATTAATATTGTCAACCGTGCATAATAAAGTCATGGAAAAATACGCATACACATGCCCAAATGAATACATGAACAATTCATATTAATTAGACACGAAATTAATTCAATCCCAACAACAATAATAAATCTTTTCTAAATGAACTTTCAGACAACAAATTCATACAAAACCTCAAAACACAAAAACTCAAGAAAATAGAAACTACATTTAAAAATTAAACGACTCGAAATAAAAAATAAAAAATAAAAAAAAAAACAAAAAAACAAAAACACCCATGTTTCTTCAATTGAAATTCAGCGCCCTGGCTTT